GAAGTGAGAGAGTCAGATGCAAAGGAAGCAGCGTCAAGAGCAGAGGAATTGAATGCAACGATCCGGAAGCTTCAAGACTCACTGGAAACAGAGACAAGTGCGCGGCAAGTTTTGGAAAAGGATGTGGACCAGCAAACACTCGAACTGACAAAGAAGGTAGCAAATTGGCAGTCTGAACACACCGAGGCAGTGGAGAAAGCTGAGAGCATGGCAGCAGTTGCAGCGCAAGAAAAAGCAGGGCTTCAGCAGTCAGTGGAGAAGTGGCGCTCCGAACATGAGGAGGCAGACTCTGTTTCTTTCTATTTGCCTCTCTCTCGCTCTCAGCTCTGCTTTTCGATTCAAGTCGAGAAGTTTACCTTTGAGACATTCTGGGCCAGTTTTGTGAGGGTTCCGACCTGATCAGGAAGCACTTTTGCGACAAACGGCTGCGAGCAATGCAGAACGTCTTGCCACTGAGGCTGGTAAGTCCGTCTGCGTTCTTGGATTCAGCCACTGCAGCAGTAGATGAGGGTTTCAGGATTGGTTTGTTATTTTCGTAGCTTGAGCAGTGCAGAATGATGAATCAGCTAGTGTGAATTGTTTTGCCCCCCGTCCTTTTTGCCTATACCAGCGCGCTGGCAGGTGCAGGATCTACACGCGATAAAGGCCTCACAGCTTTCAGTAGCAGAGGGGGTCATTGCAATCGATAAAGGGGCACAAGAAGGCAAGCTGAGAAGTACAACGCGGGATACCTAGACCTAGGCTGCTCCACCAACCCAACGATGCACGTTTTTGGGCAACCGGCTCTTTATGTCCTGCTTTCATCGCTCCTGCTTCCATTGAGCAGGCAGGAGACGGAAAACCCTTATCAATTCGACAGATGGTTGATCTCCCGGAAGCTGCAGATCCTCTGTGTAGTACTGTAGCGATCTTGGTCCATTATGCTGGATTGGTTACTCGACCATCGGTTGCAATACTGTCTGCAGCTCGCGTGATCGTAACCAGAACTTTTCCATCCATAAGGGTGACTAGACGCAAGCGAGGCACTTTGCCGCTTGATACCCCTGCTTTGTGAATTAGCCGGGGTGATAGTTGATGTTTGTATTCTATGGGTTGATGTCCTCCACCTGATGGTTTGCGGAGAAGAGTCAGACTCTTCTTGCCGCAAGCAGTTGACACAAGTACACGTTGGGGCGGGCTTGAGGAAGGACAGGGAGAGTGACTGAAAGGGAGCAAATGTAAATCGAATGATTTAGCGCCCCCAATTCGGATATGACCACGTTGATGTTCACATTTTATAAGCCATATAATTGGGACCCACCTTGAAGTGTCATGCCCAGACTCCGATGTTGCCAGCAGGAAAGGGAGCAGCAAGAAGCCAACGGCCGCATCGCCGAACTCCTTCAAGATTTGAAGGACTTGCTGCCTTTGACTGGGACAGGGAATCTTGTATGTTTTTGCTAATATCTTTTTCAAAAAGGGGTCATGGATGCTCGTGGTCTTTTGTTGGACGTGCCAAGATTTGCCAATGCACGCCCTTTTCATCCTTCTCCGCTCCTGAATGTTTGAATGTCCTATTCTTGATGTAGAAGCTCTGCAAGAGCTGATTGACATAAGAGGGTGAATAATGTTTTGGAGGGTGGGAGGGAAGTCTATCCCCCCTTTCTAGCCACAAGGCTCAAGATGAGCCTTGAAGGTCACCTCTCCTGTGTTTTAGTGGAGGTGGCGCGCGAGCCACCATGGTACTGTTGGAAAGAGGAGAAGCCGCTAGCATCGTAACGATCCCGGACCTCCTGCATAGCCTGACAGTGCCCGATCGCATTTGGACAGCATTCACGAAAGTGGCTGGGGACCCTGGCAACGATGTCAGATTGGTGGCGGCGATGCCACACTGGACGATCCCTCAGATTGTCGGCACGGTGACCTTAGATGATGGTGAGCGGCTGACACCCATACAGGCGGCTCAAGTGGGGCTGGTTTGGCGCAATGCTCGATGGGTCATACACATCAGAGGGGGCGGAGATGCAGACAAGTTCGCCGACAACGACCCATGGGCTATGCCAAGCAGCGGGGGACCTCCTGATGGACATGATGGGACAGGGACGGGAGCTTTGACAAGGGCGCCCGTAACTAGCAGTGCTTCAGGCAGCAAGGAGAACCTCTTGAAGATGGCCAACCTGGTGGACCAGACCGATGACTCAGAGATGAGACTGCCTGATGCATTGAAGCTCAACGAATGGACCCAGCGGTACATAGCGGTGATGGGAGCCCCACCTCAAGAAGAAGAAGAACCTACTGATGCTCAGTTGGCTGCACTACACCATAGAGTAGCTGTTCAAAAGCAACCACCATACGTTGACTTCTCGGTGTGGTTGCCCTTCGGAAGGAGAGTGTTGAAGAACAGAAGTTTCGGGCTTTCCTCCCAGTAGGTGACGGGTCTTTCATCATGAAGGAGCTTCCCGGCCCGCAGAACCTGCAGCAATGGTTGGTGAGTTGGAGGGTGTTCAAGGCAGCCTGCATTTGCTTGAACATTGTGACGCTGGCAGCTTTGCAACTCTATGAGAAGGTCATTGAGAAGTTGGTGATTCAGTGGCCTAAGGCTTGGGGGCTCATCGCACAGGCTGACGACAAAGCAAGAGCTGAGAAGTTAGAGAAGATCAGAAGATCAATCGTCCTCGACATGGCGGCAGGTGGACCTCCCCCGAGGGAATTCTCTGAAGATGAACCTTTGACTGCTTGTTTCAAGGCCTTGGCATTGGACGAGATCTTTTGGAACGAGCAGGTGCGGCATCCTGCAGCAGCTTGGTTGGCCAGTGGATCGCATGGGTCCCCAAGACCTCCAGCAGAAGCCATGGCTTTGGCCCATCATCCTGGACCTCCTGTAGAACATGGTGATGGTGACGAGAGAAGCGAGCGCAGAAGGCAGGCCAACAGAGACAAAAGGTCAGCGAAGCGCAAACGATGGGCAGCTGAACGTGAAGAGCTGTCGAGTTTCAGAGAGCAAAGATCCAAGGGGGACTTCAACAAGGGCAAGAGTAAAGGCAAAGGAAAGGACCAAGCAGGTCAAGAGATTTGCTACAGCTGGGCGAAGAGCGTTGGCCCTTGTGCAGGTTTAGCGGCAGGGTCGGAATGCAAAGGTAAGATCAAGAGGGTGCACAAGTGCATGTTGTGTCTCTTGCCTTCTCACCCGAATGCGGAGTGTCCTAAGAAGACCGCACCCCCTGTGTGACCCTGAAGTGGGATAAAGGGTGCGGTTGACCTCTTGTGTTTCGCGAGAGGGGATGGGCAGACACGCGTGGGTGGATTCTAGGGGGAATCCGGGGTGAGGGGGAGTGGGGAGAGGGACGTTTGGATGACTTGCCCGATCGAATCAGCGATGCTCTCAAGGCGGCCAGGGACTTCCCGGAGTACCAGGAGTTGAGAAAATTCAGGTTCCTCCATATGTTCAGCGGCAAGGAGGATGTATTGGGAAAGTGCTTGAGTGAAATGGCACAGCGAGAAGGCTTGCAGCTTGAGGTCTACAGCCTGGACAGGCAGGGCGAGGGCGACGTTGACCTGACTAAGGACCATCCCTTTATGGAGCTCAGGGAGGAAGCGAATGCATCAGCCTTCGATGCAGCACACGCAGGGTTTCCATGCAACACGTTTAGTCGTGCTAGATGGAACATGGTCAACAGAGGCCCTCCTCCCATCAGGTCACTTCAACACATCTATGGGTTACCTTCGAACTCACCGGAGGAGCAGCAGCAGGCCGATGTGGGGACGTTGTTGGCTTCGAGGTCGGTGGAGATCGTCGGGGCCGTGTTGAAGGACCAGCGAAAGCGCAGGGTGCCACAGGCCGGGACTTTAGGAAACCCTCCAGGAAGCGACGCCAAAGAAGAAGGACCGGCCTGGGAACTTCCGGAAATCAAGACATTCATGGAAGTGTTTGAGGGCCAGGTGGCAGACTACAATACCTGTGCGTTTCAAGGAGATGAACGTGTCAGGTGGTACAAACCTGGTCGCTGGGCTGGACGACTGTTGGATCTTGAAAGGTTGAGCAAACCTTGCACTTGCGGCCAATGGATCCGACACGAACCGCTGGTGGGATCGAAGCGCACAGCTCAAGCAGCCCAATATCCGAGGAGGCTTTGTGAGGAGTACTGCAAGCTGATCATCACGGCCTTCAAGCACACGCTGCAGCTCGAGTACTGGCGCAAAAGACTTGCCACGAAGACGGAAGAGGTGTCGGAATTGAAGCGAAAATGGTTGTTGAGCAAGGAGCGAATCTATCAGGGACATCCCGATGGACAACCCGCGGCCGATCCGTCAAAGCGAGTATGGGAATCTTCACAAGCCTCACAAGACACCAGACCGCAGCTTGGCATGTCGAAGAAAGCAAGACGTGAGGAAGAAAATGGCCGCTTCATTGGGGGGGATGAGAAATCCGGGACGTGCTGTAGAACGACTCTCAAGAGTGAGGCAAGTGGGCATGGATGTGTCTCGGATTTGGGACCGCTTCGTGTATGAATACCCGAGGGCCCTGGACATCGCCAAGAACTACGGGTCGGAGGGGAACAGGCCGGACATGGAAATTGAGATGATGTGGAAGGGTGCATTGAAGCAGTTCTTCCAAACAAGGGCCTTCACAGACATCATCCTCAAGGACAAGTACGAGTTCGAGTCACCCTTGGATCCGGAGCTATGGGATGCTTGGTTGAGGGCGGCAGCGGATCCAGAGAAACACCTATAGTGGAGTGGATTCGTAAAGGGGTCCCGCTTGGCATGAGCAAAGAGATACCATGCTGCGGTATCTTCCCGTTGGCCGATGACCCGGAGTTGGACATGGAAGAGATGCCAGAGCTTGCGGACCAACTAGGCACGGTCAATTACAAGTCCTTCACCGAGGAGCCGGCGCACGCCAGAGCAGAGCTTGGACGGTTGGTGGAAGAAGGCTTTGCGGTGGTCCTCCCGACGGGAAAGGCGCAGGAGGTGCACAAGAGAGGCATTGTCTCGAAGCTGGCGCCCCTGATCAAGAACAAGGACGACGGCAGCGTCAAGCGGAGGATCATCATAGACTTGCTACGGTCAGGCGGAAATGCCAGATGCAAGGTACCTGAGCGGATTGTGCTGCCAAGGGTGGTGGACGTGATCGATGGCTTCAGGCACTTGTGGAGCACCAGGGACCGCATGAAGAGCAAGTCCAGGGATGACGAATGGGAGCTCGATGAAGACCGACCAGAGGGGGGCATCTTCGACTTCGAGCTGGTGACGGCGGACCTGAGTGACGCCTATTGCCATTTGCCTGTTCATCCCGAGGAGCACGCCAACTGCCTGAGCCCAGGGCTGCATCCATCGGAAACGCTCATGTGGGTAGCAATGCTCTTTGGCTTCAAAGGTGCACCCCTATTAATGGGCAGGTTTGCAGCGTGCCTGGCAAGGATTTGGCAGTCGCTCATCGCGCCATCAGAGCTACAGAGCCAGCTGTACATGGACGACCCGATGTGGATTCTTCGTGGACCGACTTCCCGAAGGAACAGAAACCTGGCTCTGTTATTGTACACTGCACGAGCCTTAGGCATCAACCTGGCTTGGCATAAGGGTTCACGCGGAACGCAGCTCACCCGGATCGGGGTGATGTTTGAGGTCATTCAGGCAGAGGCAGTGGTCAAGCTCACGGTGCCGAAGAAGATGATGGCCGAGGTGACGCAGGCATTGGAGTCATGGGAGACGAAGGGCATGGTGAGCTTTAAGGAGGTGCAACAGCTGACCGGGCGACTCTCATGGATCGCGGGCATCCTCCCGAGAACGCGGTGGGCTGTCTCGATAATGTATGCCGTGCTCGCCGATGCCAAGCGCTCCGAAGATGAAGAAAGGCAACGTGCAGCGAAGCGAGTCGACCAGAGACCCAAGGTCGGACTCATAGCAGTCAAACGACTGGAGCTCCCGAGGAAATGGTTCGTGACGCTGTTCAAAGAGCCCGAGGTGTTGGCCCTGAGGACGGAGCCGATGGTGGAGCTGCTGCCTGACTACGCCATCGTGACGGACGCAAGCCCTCAAGGGATTGGTGCACTAGGCGACGGTGGATCACACCATGGGACCAACCTTCACTATCATCGAGGGGCTGGAAATCCCGCTGGAGGAGGCTGATGCGAAGTGGCTGGGCGTCCCATGGAAGGAGTCGGCATCGCAAGGGCCACTGGAAGCTTGGGCGGTCAAGCTAGCAGTGAGAAGGTGGGCCACCAAACTGGAAGGCAAGAGCATCGTGCTACGCAGCGACAGTGTGGTGGCCCTGGCCATGACCAAGAGATTGTCATCACCATCTCCCGTGGTGAACTGGGTCGGAGCCGAATTGGCTATCAGGTTCGAGAAGGCCGGCATCAAGCGTGTGGTGACGCAGCACATTCCGGGCAACTGGAATGTGGAGGCAGACTGGCTTTCGCGTCCTCATGAACGGGGGGCAAAACCTGGGACCTGAGCGGCTGAGCAAGGTGCCCATCAAGACTTTCCCAAGGAACTTGATGCACCGATCATACCTGTCTCCGCCCGGGATGGCACCACAACTGTGGGGAGCCTTGGCCCAGCAGACCTCGGGAGCCTTCGAGCTGCTCTGAAGGGATGAGGATGAAAAGTTCGTCCATCATTCTCGGCTTGAGGGGGATGACCGAGGGAGGGAGGGGGGGAGACAGGTAAGAGCCGTTCGATCGAGGCTGTGGCGGTTTTCGTTCGTTCGACCGGCTCTGATCGGATGCTCGACATTCGCCGGGCGAGCTCATCATGGCTCAAGTTATGGTGAGGTCGGCCCCAAACCCGGCGACGAGGGAGGACGACGTGGTGTGGTCCTGCGGCGAGTACGCGGTACTGGCCGGGTGGGCATTCTTCTTGTTGAGCCTCCTGAAGGGCCTGTGGGACACTCTGTGCTGGTGCTACGCTCCGCGGAAACCAGGAAGCAAGGAGAGGGCGGAGGTGAACCTGGAGCAGTGTTTTGGAGAGAAAGTATGTTCTCGACATGCTGCGACGTGGCTCCCGCATGCAATGAGCACGAGGAGAACTATGGGGTTGATGAACTTTGGACTCAGGGACCCCTCGAACTGCATGAAAGAGTTAATTCGGAATAGACTGCATGGCGAGGCTCATCATTTTGAGGAGCTGAATCAGAACAAGCCAAGGGAAGGAATGGGCGATGGCAGAGCAGATCAACAAGATAAGTTGGAAGAGAATAAGGGAGCTATCAAGAGAGGTTCCTTCGAAGAGGTCATGGACGTCCTGAAAGGAAAAGAAAAGCTGGCCTTGGCTAGACAGGAGTTGAGGAAAGACGTCATGGCTGAATCATCCAGGGCATCACAGAAAACCAAAAGAGAACAAGTGCTGACGATGGCCATGGAGGCATGTGGTCAAGGAGGTCGACCCTTCCCGCTGAAAATCGAGACGGTGGAGAATGTGGCAGCAGCGATAAAAGCGGTGGGCTGGACCTCCGGGGGCCAATACATCAATGAGTTGAAGCTGATGCACATCGAAGCTGGCTGGGATGTCAGCCAACAATTGAGCAGAGCCCTGGCTGACTGGAAAAGATCGCTCAAGAGAAATAGGGGGCCAGTTCGAAGAGCACCGGAGTTCAAGCTGGACGACATCGAGCACATCAAATGGATCCTCACATGTCGCGGCCCTAAGAGGACGATCAGACTGGCTTTGTCGTACGCCTGGGCAGTCATAAGCGCCATGAGGTGGAAGGACATCACGGCTGATTGGATCAAGAAGAGAGTTTCCATCTTCATCCCCATCTCCAAGTGTGACCAACAGGCGTTGGGAGTTCGCAGGACGTTGCAGTGCTGCTCATGCAGAACATGCCAGAGGTGGTGCCTTGGAAGATATGGCTGGAACTATGGAAGGCCCTTCGTGGTGAACAAAGAGATCCACAAGAATTCGTGTTCCAGGACGCTGAGAACAAAAGATTGTCGAAGGCGAAGATGGTAGAAGGCTGGGCCATGGTGACAAGACCGGACATTCAAGGACATTCAGCCAGAAGATCGGGGCAATGGGATATGTGCGACTTGGCATGCCCATTCAAGAGTTGGCCTTCCTGGGGCGGTGGAAATCATCAGTCGTACTCACCTATGCGGAGGACGCATTGCAATCTGAACCCGCCAATAGGAACTTGAGGCCCAACGACGAGGGAAAGCCCAAAAGACCACCCAAGAGTCAGGGAAACAATCTCACCATCACGATGGACGAGACTCCAGGACCGTCAACAGGGCCACCTTCAAAGGACATCGACACGGAGGAACAGGACAAGGGGACAGAGAAATGCAAGGTGGTGGTCACGACACTGCCGAAGAAGTTGTGGGTGGCTTCGACGGCCTACAACTCCAGAGAGCGTGTATGGCACCAAGTGGAAGATGCAGGTTGGGATGTGCCCATTGAATCCTGGACCTCCGTGTGTGGATGGCCGTTCAGTCGGAACTCCTCGAAGGTAATCCTCAATTCACAGCTGACAGTGGCACAAAGAAAATGCAAGAAGTGTTTGAGAAGAACTTGCGGCACAGCCAATGAGGAGGTCAAGGCAAGTTCCACCTGACTTGTGAAGAACTTGAAGTTTGTTGGCAGGAAAGCCAACCAGACAACCGACCAAAAAGAATAGTTCGTGAGGTACACGTTCTGTTGTCAATAGGAGGGTGGGTGGGATTGTAAACATCCCACCCTAGTTGTCATGTCGTTTTTACCACAAGCGAAGCCTCGGCACTCATGTGCTTGGAAGGATCTCCAAGGTAACTACAGTGATGCAACTGAAGCGCAACAAAAGGCGGCGGAAGAGGCCATGATCAGCAGGGGTGGCTGTGGCGTTCTGGAGTCACTAGCTAGAATCCCCCAGAAGCCGACCTGAGCGAACAGTATTCTTGCTAACATGCATATTCGTCTAATGTTTTCTCAAGCGCTTTGACCTTTGGCGGCCGCGAGGCCCAGCGTGATGCGCAGAACTTCTCGGAGAGGATCGCAGCATTGGAGTCGGAGCTTGACAGAGAGCTTGGCAAAGGTGTGGCATTGGAAAGCTCCTTGGAGGCTCATGCGAAGGAGAGGGCAAGAGGCCCAACGCACCCTAGTAAACTGTAGCGGCTTAGCAGGGTGTCAACCCTCCAAGGTTCACAAGGTACACAGGCTAGACTTAAGGGGTTCCCTGAAACTGGTTGAAGGAACCCTGATGCTTGAACCAAACGAACCAAACGAACTCATCTATCACCTAGGAGCGCTCAGTCGTTTTCAACTTAGACTGATCTCTGGAAGGTCATTGCTCAGAAAGTTTCCTGCCCCAGGGCACAAAAGACATGTTGAACTGCCTGAGATTTCCAGGAGATGGATGCCTTGCGCGCCTCCCTTTCGGCTGGTGAAGAGAAAGCAAGCAAGGATGAAGAGTTGGCGAGTGCGGCACTAGCTGAGCTGCAAGGCCGACGCGGCACTATTCTTTTGATTTGCTTTCGCTCCGTGGAGGCAGAAGGAAGCTGTAAGGAAGCATGAAGCAGTCACATGTTCATGCATGTTTAAGCATGTTCATGTTCGCTGTAGTCTTTATTGCCTTGAACACGTGGACTTTGCTGAACACTCCCAGACCCAGAAACGGCAGGACAGCTTCAAGGCACTGAGACCGCGAAGGACGAGGCGGCGGCCGCGGCGGCCAAGCTCCAGGAGGCGTGGTCCCGAAGTGTCAGTGGCATGAACGGTGTCCATATGCATTGGATGTGAAGAAACATGGCGATGCACGCGTTTGATGGTTTTCACTCTTTGCAGTTTCATCGCGCACCAGTTTGCCACTGACATTGGCAGCCAAGGTTTGGGTACATTTTGGGCAGATTCTTCTGAACATGTTTTCGAAGACTCCTTGAAGCTGATTCTTTTGATAGTGTTCCTCCTTTCAGGCTGCGTCTTCAACTCTTGCACACAGCTCTTGGAACCTCTTGGACGCCCATCCTTTTGGCTTGGTAGATTTGGCTCAGGCTTTGGACAGTGCCAAAGAGTGCGAAGCAGAGCTCCTGGGACATTTCCAGGAGGAGAAGACAGCAAAGGAGCGGCTGGACCTGGAGAAGGCAAGCGCCCGGACGAGCGCCCAGATTGGGTCTTGGAGCATCTGGTCGGGTCAATCGGACAAAGTGGAACCCCAACTGCCTTCAAGCACAACAAGCTTGAAGCCACGTTTGAGGGGTGGTCACGGCATGTTTGGTTCAAACCGGACTCCTTCAAATTTGGAAACATCGGAACGCTGTGTACCAGGCCGACCAGGCCCAGGACATTTTGTGGCGCTTCGTTCCGACTGTGTGTGCTTTATTTGGGCTGGGTTCCCACGTGCTGCCACACCAAATAAACATTTCCCGACAAGCACGTAACCCCTCTAAACTGATCCTGTGTGGCAGGAGATTGCAGAAGTTTTCTTTGCAATGACGGGCAAGTGAACACATGCGCATCCACTCGGTTCTTGTCCAGGCGCAGCTTAGCTCGGAGCTCTTGGAAGCCACGCACGAGCAAAGCGCGCAGAGGTCGCGCTTGTCCCTTGGCTGTTACCGGGTGCTGTGTATATACTTTTCTGTACTTTTTTGCAAGGCCAGGGGGTGTGTGCCGGGTGTTCAATGTGTTTGCATTTTTAAAAAGTACATCATGCCGTGTTCCATGGTTCCATGCAAAATATAAGGTGGAAGAACGATTATTCTGGGACATTCTGAGACAAGATTGCGCAAAGGGGGAAGGGTCTTGTCTTGGTGATTGAGCGGCTTTGGCTTTTTGCTAAAGTAGGACTCGAACCGTGGAAACTTCTGAAAAGAGTGCGCCAACTGTGCTCAAAGCTGAGAGCAGAGTTGGGGATCCGAATCGACGATAAAGAGATCAAAGAATTGGCTTGTCCAAGCGACTTGAAGTGGCTCAAGGCATGGGCCATGGCACTAGTCACTAGCCTTGGCAATGTGCACGCAGGTAAGGTCGTCATGCATGCATTGCATCGCTGCTAGGCAATTTTGATCACGCGTATGACGCTATGTATACATATACCCACAAATATGTATATATATATATATATTTGTATATGTATATATTTGGTTTTACATGAGAATCGGTGTAATGGGATTTGTGCTGGTGGTAGTTCACCAACCGTTTGCTTTATCGACTGTTCAGCAGTGGCGTTGCGCTTCCAGAAAGTGCTCGCCTAGTGCTTCCAGCTAGCTTGGGGTGAAGGAATCTTTCTCCAAGCCGTGTCGTTGGACTGAGGCAAGCATTGAATCAAGAATTGACTGATCTGACTATGCAGCATGCATCGGACTTGAAGGAGCTGAAGGAGGAGAGAATGGGATTTTGCGTGAATGAATCATTTGCAAAGAGGTTATGGTTGGTGTGAGAATGAACCTTACTCTTCGTGCTCTGCTCCTCCAGTGCAGGAGCACGATGCTGCTTTGGAGCGGAAGGAGGCCGACTTCGCCAAGGCCTCGGCGGATGCTTCTGGGTTGGCTGCGGAGATGGAGGCCTTGCGGTCTCAGCATGCGGCCGCCGTGGAGCGTGGCGATGGCTTGGAAGCCAAGATGAAGGACTTGCCGAATGCAAATGAGTGCAAAGGACACAGTCACACAGTCATACATGTACAAAGTGATTCTTTTTGTGTGCTGTGTTTCGCTTACAAGATATGCAACACCGAAACCCAGGGGCTTCACATGGTTTCACCATTCGGAAACCACATCTTTTGCGGGAGATTGCACGCCGCAGGAAGATGTTGCTGGGCTAGCTTCCGAGCTTGGCCAAGTTCGCGCGGAGCTCTCCTCCGAGCGGGAGGAAAGGCATTCTGCTGCAGCAGACGCAGCTGCTGCAGCCTCCGCGGCGGAGCATCTCAATGCGACGATTCAGCAGCTGAAAGATGCGATGGCTGTGGAGACAGATGCCCGCCAGGCAGAAGAAAAGGACCGGGTTGAGCATAGTGAAGGCTTGGTGCGACAGAGTTGAAATCTCACGAATGATGCGCTTTCTTCCTTCAACTTATATTAGCCCACCAGGGCGAAGGGTCTGAGATCTTGGACTGCCCGAGTGACTGACTGGCAACCAACCTCGGAGGATGCCAGCGCAAGATCTGCCGAGCTTCAGGAAGAGATTATCTCCTGGAAACAGGAGCATTCAGAAGCGGTAAAGAAGGCAGCAAGTCAGGCAGACCAGGCATCACTTGAGAAGACAGAGCTCCTAGAAGAGGTGACCTGTTGGGAGAAGTCTGTGTCAAATGTTGAGATGCTCCCGTTTTGAATTTTGCTGGTTCATTTGAATTTTGCTGGTTCATCAAGTGGGAAGGCTTGAGGTATTGTTTTTGGCCTGAACGCAGTTGCGTCAGAACGGGATTTGTGATAGCAACATCATCCCAATCATTGGAAGATCAGCCATCATTGCTTAGCGAGGGCTGTTGAACTTCTTGGAAGCTGATGAGCATGGCCCTTGCGAAGGAAATGCGAAAGTAAGAAGATGTAGGAACACTTACATCAAGATGTAGAAAAGTGTCTTGACTGTTTGCCGTTCGCGGGTTGAAGACCTCGTTTTGCAGACCTTGCATGAGGTTCAGGGGGAGCGCCTGCAGCAAGCCAAAATGAAAAGCGAGTTGGATGAGAAGGATGCCAACTTGGAGGAAATTCGCCGCTCGGGCCAGACAGAAAGAAGCCATGAGAATGACCCAGTCTAACCACATCAAGAGCAAAATCTTCTGTGAAGGTGTGACCTGGGTGTTTCTCACTACGGACCTTGGTGCATGGTGAGCCATTTGTTCCCGTGAGGTCAGCAACAAGCCAGCCTTGAAGCGGAGAGGCAGAAGGCCGAAAGGGTTGTCGAGGGCCTGAAGAAGGAGCTGGAAGAGATGAAGTCTGAAATGGCTCAGGCTTGGCGAACCTTTGTGTAAAGGAACCCTGTTTTGATGCCAAGTGCTAGATGCGCCCCGCGCATATCCCAAAGCTTTGGAAGTCTTTGCAGTTTTCGCCTCAAAGATTTTCTGAGCAAGTTGCGGGCTGTCAACGCTAAGGCAAACGAGAAGCAGAAGGCTTCAGCCTTGGACGAAAAAATGCCAAGGCAGCCCTCTCTGCAGAGCTTGAGCAACAATCCCAGAAGTTAACTGAAGCAAACGAAGAGCTGGCCCAGGAGCAGAGCAAAGTGCAGGAGCAACGGGAGTCAACAATGCTCAAAGGCTTAGCCATTGAACCTCCAATCAGTTTTGTTCAAAAGTTCCTATTCAACTGCTTTGGTGTGTTTCGTTGGGGTGTGTGGTCTGGCGATCCTTTGTCCTTCGAGGAGTCCCAGCGAGAGGCGGCTAGCTTGAAAGGGGAGTTGGAAAAGCTCCAAAGCTTGCAGAAAGAGCAGGAGGAGCAGAGCAAGAAGGAAAAGGAGCAGAGTGAGGCCGCAAATTCGGAGATTGTTGCCGAAGCGAATTCTTTGAAGTCCGAGTTGGAGGCAGGAGAAGCTGGTAAATGCACGAACATAGCAGCATACCCATCCATGCTTTGTGCTTTTGTTGTTTTCTGCTTGTGGAGTAGACGCTCGCATTGGAACCCTGTTGACCTGTCAACCTTTTGTTGGCCTGCTGTGTGTCCATGCGGAGTCCAACCGAGGAGCTGAGAGCAATGACAGCCAAGCAGATGGAAGTGATGAAGGCAGAGCTGTTGGAAGCCCAGGCTGCTCCACCAACGTCACAAGCTCCAGCGGCTCCAGCCGCTCCACCAGCTCCAGCCGCTCCGCCTCTGACAGCCGCTGCTCCAGTGGCCGAGGCCCCAACGTCAGAGGCTGAAGAAAAGGTCGGAGCTCCGGAGGCAGATGAAGCTGGCGAAGGAGTGGCTGACTTGCTCTCGGCTATGAAGGAAGCAGGCCTAGGAGAGCATGCTGAGATCGCAGAGGACTGGGTGACTTGTTCAATCTAATTTGCAAGTAGCTTGGGCTAAGGTTTGTTGAGTGTATCGCTCCATGCAAAGCCGGAGTCTCAGAAAATATCCCTTTGCCTCTAGGGGTTTACCTTTTGGGACCTCCCCCACGTCCAACACCCTGAACATTTTATCGTATAACAAATATATACTATGTCTATAGATGTTTATGCATGTTTGTACCCTTGAATTCAACGTGGAGAACGGGCTCCTGAGGAGTGGTGCAGAGAACAGGGTGCCGAGCTGCTCTCCGAGGTGATTGAGTTCTTTGACGACTTTGTGGCAGGCGTAGGCCTCTCGACCGAGGAGCGCGATCGGCTGTCGAACTGCTTGGGTGTAGAGGATGAAGATCTCAAGGAGGCCAAACGCATCGTGGCAGAGGTGGAGGCAGAGATTGCAAAGCTCAACACGGAATCGAAGAAGACTTCGAAGAAGCAAAAGGGACCTTTGCTGGCAAGAATAAAGGAATTGGAGAATGAGCCCCTTGTCTGTGAATGCTGTTTGTCATGCATTGCAAACGGTTTGTTTGCCTGATCGCAGTCAACAGGTCTAGGGAGAGCCTAAGGCCAAAGGACAAGAACGCATCTCATCAACAATTGTGGCGTTCCAACAATTTGTAGCTTCTTGAGCCATTTCCCTCCCACAGTTTCAGCGTTCCGAGGCCCAACTACCTGGCGGCCCAGCGCTTCGTGGCCGACCCAGCAGCTGAGCGCGAGCGGAAGCGCCAGGAGCTGCTGCGACGGCTCGAGGCCAAGGCGCGGGAAGCGGTGGCCGACCGCGACCTGCCCAAGGCCACGGCCGCGCTGGCGGAGTTCCGCCACCTGGGCGAATTAGAGGATACTAGCCCCTAGTAGCGTCTTTGCTCCTAGTAGCGATGTCTTGTACATGCGGGGAAATAGATGGATTCAGATTTCGGATGATGGTAGAGAGTAGTTGACTAACTGTGAGGGAGGGGGTTGAGTGATGCTGAGATTCGAGTCATCATTCACGACGACATAGCAGTCGAACCATGGTTTGCTCATCCGACAGGGTCGTTCGTTCGCAGAACACCTGGCGTTCTCTCGCGTCCGCCCACTCCGAGGGGCTGCCGGCGGCATCAGCGGCAACGAGGCCGGCTCGCTGGCCGCGGAGCTGGCAGCGCTGCGCTCCGAGCTTGCGGCCGAGAAGCGGGACCCCGAGGAGCAGCGGAGGCGCATGGAACAGAGGAAAGCTGCGAAGAAACGAGGCTTTCAGCCGCTGTGAGCTAAAAGGTTTGGAATGTGTGGGATGTTGATTGTGCGAAGTGCCGGACAAGGGTCCAAATGGCAGTTTTTTTTGGGGTTATTTGTTTGGGAGGCAGTTCGGAAACGTCAGTATGGCCACCGAATCCGGTTATACATAGCTTGCCCAACTATATGCAGGGAAACGCCTTAGTCCCCAATTTAGTTCATGCTTTTGGGTAGGGACTTGGTGAGTTGCCTGTAGAGGTCATGACATGACGGAGATTCTCGTGGTCGCGTCGGATCCCAGGTTCGACCCGCCGGAGGGTGCCGAGGCGGAGCCGCCTCGCCTCGTGCGGCTGAAAGTGGATCCGGAGCTCGGTGCAGGCTTCGACGCGTGCCTTCGGTGGAAACGACACAAGGATTCGCAAGGGTCGGGTGGGCCGCCAAGTCACACCACGACATCAGTTTATCACTATAGTCTATAGTGTGACGATGGGGTTTGATGGTTAGATATAACGGGTCCGAACGGGTATTGGATTCCAGAACGCTCCAAGTGTGAGTCTAAAGCGTTGCAGGTGTTCCTAGAATTTGATTTCTTGTTTGTGCAGCAGACTGTGCAAAGCTTCATGCTTGCTCTCTCCTGAATCGATGAAGATATAGTTTGAGGAGATCCATTAGCGAATAATTAGTGGACTGAACACCCTCCAAATTTTCACCCTGGCGCAGCCAATCTAACTAAGAGGCTTTCCACGCCAAGGCATGCTACGTGGTACGGCATGGTGATCGAAGAAATCGATGATGAGTCGGGTCAAGATGGTTTGGGGCCTGGAGATTGCATCTCTACAATTGGTGGCAAGTCTTTGCAGGAGCTGGGTGCGTCCGGAACCATCGATACTTGGGACAGCTTTCGCATGCTTTGGCCGCCAATTCCATCGAACAGAACTCTTAACATCCAGCGCTAGTGCCCACGCGTGACCGTGAGCTGCAGGAGATGGAGGACTGTGAGCCGGTGTTTATCGACTGCTTAGAGGATGGGGTGGAGGTTGAGGTAGACGCTTACCTCAATGGTTTTGAGTTCGATGAAGATACTGTACCTATAGTACCAAATAGTACCATATACAGTAGTACCTATACAGGCTCATTTCGACGACGAAAGGCAGGTTGCGGCAGGCAGCTTTTTACTTTGCTTGATTGGTGGACCAGTCTACTACGCAAATCGCGTCGGTCGTGTGGTTTGTGTGTCTTGGTCGTGTCGGCAGAGTGCCGGAACTGCTTGGTGGTTCTCCTGGGCGGCACCGCCAAGGAACCGAAATGTCATGCCAGTGGCACAGTACCCGTTGGAGCCAAAGATGTTGATTGGACTGCCTTGCAAGCAGACCTTGCCAGCTTCGGACCAGATTACCAGGTGGACTTCAAGGCCTTCCAGGGGGGTGTGGTGGGCGTTCGACATAAGTGCGTGCTTTCGATTTGGGGTTGGAGTTCGGACGTGGTCTTTTCGACGATTTGCCACGTGGCTCCGGCTTCTTTCAGCATGAATGACGCTGTCCGGGTTTGCCTCCGTTTTCGTTCGTTTTGATGAAACTATGTGGACAAGAAACAGTGTTGGCCCGCGCTACCCGACTCCGCGGAGCAGACCCGACTCCGGGGAGCTCGACCTCCCCACCTGCTCGGGTCCTCCCTCCCCGCCCGCAGCTCTCGCCGGACAAGAAGCAGCTCCGCATGAGCGGCCCACGAGCCGCAGTTCCTTGGGCGAGACAAGGGTCTGAAGGAACAAATGGCATCTACTCCGAGTTTTGGCCTGAAACGCACCTAAGACCTAATTGAAACCACAGATGCAGGTCGAACTGGATCGAAGTTGTCCTAGTACCTTCACCACATGAGGGGGGGGATCTTTTTCGTGCGTGGCCGTGGCCGGGTGTCACCAAATATACTGTGATTTATGTGATTGTTCACGAAAGCTAGCACCAGCTAGCTGGAGTTGTCCTTGCTTTAGCAAGTGAGGGGCTGGAATCCTCGAGATCGCCGCATCACGTGAAAACTTCATATGTAGGGCCCCCCCCCCCGGTGGGTTCAACTCCCCCCTGGGACGCCTCTGGGACACCTCTCGGGCACCTCTTATGGCATCCACTTTGGTTTAACTCCTCCGGGATACGGTGCAACAGATTCAACAAGCTCACAGGTTCGTAAACACATCGGATGCATCGAATAGTGTGGCAAAGTCCAGCCACGCTTCCTTAATTATCGGGGACTTCAATTCTAAGGTTGGCTGTGTCATTGCTGTTTGTGTGTCTTACATGTTCACAACGTTTTACTTCATGAGCATTTGCCTCAATCCGCTTGATGTCCCACCAGTCCGGATGCACCCCTGCTAGCTTTCGTCACCTACCCTCGGCCTCAAGTTCCTTCCACTTTTTTCAGAGTCATTATGATATTGAAAGATCTTGGAAGAGATCAGAGCCTACATTCCGGCAAAGTGAAGTTTGGAGTTGCGACACCCTTTCGAGTAATGGCGAGTGCTTTGCAAGGTGATTGCAGCAAGGGAAGATGCGACGCAGGCACTGCAGTGATGGGACCACCCTTCTCTTCCAATTGGCAAGAGTCACCACCTTTGTTGGAAAAGTACGTAAGTTCCAAAGAGCCAAAGAACCTTTTTCGATTTCCAGGGGGCGAGCTCTTCTTCCCGGTTGGGTTGGCTCCAGGTGCTGGCCACCTACTTCCCTGCTTGAGCTGCTTTTCCTGGCCGGGGAACCTAGCCCTGGCTGCCTTCCTAAGACGGAATTGCTCAATTGCACCAGGAATTTCGAGTGCTTGCAAAAATTTGTGGTGTCTTCCATGTCGATCACAAGCGCCGCCCATGTCGAGGCCATGCTCCTCAAACAGATGTTCCCCGACCACAGCTGTCCGTGTGACGCTTCTCACAGCGCGAGGGTAGAAGTTGAGTTTAAAGTTGCATCCAAAGACCAAGAGTTTTCCGACCTTAATGACTTGCCGTTACCTGGGCATGTAGACGCTGGCATTGAACAGAGCACTCAGCCCGGGACATTCAATTTGCGTTGTTTGGTGTTCATTTTAACATTCTGTCATTATGCTGTACCGTTTCTGATTTAGGTTGTTACATGAAACCTTCTTTGCCAGCCGCTTGTGCCCTAGTGCCCAACCACTGGATCTGGCCGCTGAACACGGCACGTAGCAGAAAGTTCAGTGACGAGCGCTCCATTGTCACATAGTTCTTTTTGGGGTAGCCGGCATGCGGGCCACGTGCCCGCCTCTTGCAGTCGCGACCACGGTCGTCGAGGCGACCACGGCGCGCTAGCAGTCAAAACAATTGGTTTGCATTCAGCAGCGTGCAGGTTTTCTTGTGCATTTCTGGAGTTGCTTGGGGCTAGTTGTGTTAGTTTGTTGTGAAATGAAGGGTCAGAATTTTATCCTGACCTGTTGGTGCCCTATATACCTTCAATCCTGCACTCCTCCCGGTTTGTTGGAGAGCCACTTGGTGGTCACTGCTTTGATTGAGGTGCACTCAATTTGGGAGATCGCGGAAGAGCAGCACTTGTTGCAGAGCAGATGGGAGGCGACTCAAAGCACAAGAGCTTGGAACCTTGATACATACATTTCCCAATCCCAGTGGCTTTGGCACAGACATGTGCTCGATCACCCAGCAAACGTGTACCAGTGTACCGTGTACCCTTGTTCACAACATCAAAGGTCGAGTCCCGTGGGTCACTGAGCTGGTCCCGTGGGTCAGCGGAGCTGGTCACCGGACCCGGGTATGGAGTGGCACCAAATGCACAGCGCACCGCACGCTTTCAAGTCCACGCCCAGTGGGAGGCGCGGAGGTTGGGCAGCCCAGCCAGCCTGTACTGTAAAGTCGCTACACAGATTGGTGGTATCAAATAGCATGCCCAACCGGTTTTGCATGTTGGCATGCTCAACAGTTGACTGAGTGCTGGAAGGAAATCCTTCTTGCATTCCATTTCCACTCAGCATTTTGGGAATTTCGAATTTTCGGAACAGTGGGGTGCAGAATGGTGCAGATGCCGTTCATAAGTTTTATTTTACTATTATATATATATATTTTTTTAAAATACTTTTTTGCTGAATGTTGTCCGCTCTTTTGCAGGTTGGCTGCTAGCTTTGGTCAATGGTCTATACATCAACTCATGAAGAAAAAGCCGCGTGCAGGATAGGGGACATAGTCAAAGCGATATGTTTAGGTTCCTTCATTTTCATGTATTCTGTTCAGAGTTGCCAGCCTTTGAGGCAGCACCCCTGGCCAAGCAAGAGCGGGTTTTGGATACTTCACCCCTAGCGAAGCCTCAGATCTGGGGCTTTGACACTTTGAGGATTGGTGATGTCATGTGATTTCGCATCCTTGAGAGGCATGCATGTCTTGGTTTGGCTCAGAATGCTTGGTAGAATGCTTCGTCGATGCCCTGGTGGGAACGCGGGACAGCTCGGGGCCTTGGTGAAGGGGTGGAGTTCAAGCAGATAGAGAAACTGATGGATCTGGGGTGCCGCATGGTTATGCATATCATATCATATATAGACTCCAGACTGACTGTGGGGCTGGATAGCCGTGTCAGGTTAAGTCCTTGGTGATTCCCCTCAGCCAATTACAAAAGCAAAGCAATCCGTGTGTTTTTCATGTCGCTCTCGGTCATTTTACCAAGATGCCCACAATCAGCCCCTGACTTCAAGTCCTGGAGCAGCGCATGATGGTAGATGATGCGATTGTACCTCAAGACTCACGATCCTTCTGCCATCGCGGGCATTACATTGCAGTTGTCTCCCAAACGCATCCGATAAGACCAGGTGAGTCCAGGTGAATGCAGCCGAGGGCGGGCAAAGGCCAGCCCAGCACAGTGGGGCGACCAAGCAAGGTGTTTTGTGGGGAAGGCCTGCAAGCCTGCCTGCCAGCCTGCCTGCCAGCCTGCAACGGACCAGCATTGGATAAAAGATACTATAAGTCAACTAATGCTCGGTGTTCTTTGGACAAGTGCATCAACGTGCGCTGATGCACGAAATAAATTGTTTGGGGTCAAGTTCAATAGGATTTCACCAAACAGATCTTTTGCCATAGGAACAATAAGCTACTACAGTAGGGGCTCCTGGCATCGCTACTAGGAGCAAGGACGCTACTAGGGGCTCCTGGCCGTACTGCTAGGAGGGACGCCACCAGGAGCAAAGGGCGACTGTCCCACCGAGGCCAGCCAAGGCGCCAAGACCGGCTACAGCGACGCACCGGCCCGGTCGGGGCCTGGTGCAGAGGGAGTCGGAGACGGGGAATTTCAGAGACCCCGAAGTGCTTGAAGATGGAACAGTGGCAGTTCCAGGGTTCTGAAAAAGACCGCCTGAGTCCCGACCTTGGAAGGAGAATGCGTAGAACTCTTTGTGTCAGTAGACGCCAGAGCTGATGTTCATTTCTTTGCGCCTCAGACTGAATCAATCAGTTCTTTGGACTGATCACTTGTCTATGAAGCCTGTCACCCATGATGGGTCACGTGTTTCTAGCCGGTGAACTGAATGGCAGAAAAAAGTTTAGTAAAGTTTAGACTACATGACAGAACTTGGATAGCTGCATGCGGTGTCCATGAGTTTTTGAACGAGATTGCTTCCTCAAGAAATGGTGAGACGTGAACATATGTCTCGCTTTGGGCGCCCATCCAACTTCCAACGAGGCCGGAGAAGTGGAGGGAAGGGTGGCGGGAAGAATGCCGGGACGAATGGCAGGAGGAATGGCTTGGCGCCCAGTCAGATGGCGGGTGTCCGCACAGATTTGCTCCTAGTAGCGTCCTTGCTCCTAGTAGCGATGCCAGGAGCCCCTAGTAGCTTCTTGTTCCTAGTAGTAAGGCCAGGAGCCCCATAGTAGCGTTAGTAGCGTCCTTGTTCCTAGTAGCGATGCCCGTTGCTCCTAGTTGCGTCCTCCACCCCGATTTGAGCTCAACTCCGAATCGAACTGGGCCACCCAGTCGGCCCGCAAGGAACGGCGAGCAGAGCCCCGTAGCACAATCGACCGAAGCATGGCCAGAGCCCGCTTGGCTGCGAACTCATTTGAGTAGCTGTGATGCTGAGTTGTGATGCTACAACGAGGAAGCCAACTGCCACTAGCTAGGATTCTTCACACCTTTATGCGCTACCAGTTTGGCAGCCTCAACCTAAAGGTTTTGAAGCTCAACGTTACAGGTGTGCGGTAGCATGTTGATCGGCAGATGAGCACATGCTCAGGTCTTCCACAGTTCCTTGGCCACCACAGGAGTGCTATGGTTACTGGCCTTGGTTGTAATTGTCACATGGCTAGCAGGGCCGACTTAGCCAGTCCTTCAGGACCCTGCCTGGTGGGCCGACTTAGCTAGCCAGCTGCCTGCAGCTTGGGGTACAGGTGCCTTCGACGCCGAAAGGCCACTCCATCAATTGGCGATGGGCATGGGAATGGACGGTGTGAGATCAGGTGAGTATGGTAGGGAGAGGTGAGATCAGGTGGAGGTCGCTGTGCTTGGTGGGTGTTTTCAGTTGATCCCTGTGAGCCCGTCCGGTAGTGACCGTGATGAAAGAAAGGACCGAAGTGGCCCGTTTGGAGGTGTCACCGCAGGTGACAGGACACGAACATGAGATAGAGACCCACTGGAAGAAACCTGAAAACCACCAAGGCCGGTCGTCTTCCCTTCCTGGCAGGTCCATACCAAGCCCGGTTCAGGTCTCACACACGTGTCTCGTGTCTCGCGTCTCGCGACACCGGTCGTCTTCGAGTCTCGGGCCGACGCGGCCGTGCCCAGGGTGAAGGGCCTTGAAGCCAAGTTGTCCCCAGACAACGAGGCGGGAGGGCCTAGGCCCCACAGATTTCCAAGACATACCAAGATCTCCTTGAGAATTCTAAGTGTTCCAAAAGCGAATTCTGGGAGATCAGCAATCAGCTTCTTTTGCGAGTGCGAAACGTGGGACGTTTTTGACCAAAGTCACTTGCCTTACGGTGTGGCGCGGGCATCCGGTGTAGCGCCGATACGATTTCCGAAAGTGGTCGCAGCAGTTGGCTCCAAAGCAGCTATGGCCACACCGAGGGCCCGCCGCACAGACACGGCGCCATCGGGATTGGAAGCCTTCTCGCAAAAGGCGGTGAAGCCCGAGACTGATGGCCTCGAGCTTTGCAGATCGGCTGAAAAGAGAACTTTTCAAAAAAATGGCAGCAATCCTGCCACATAGTAATTCTGGCAATCAATGCTGTTGGCATGTGTACGGGCAACATTCATTCGCACATGCAACGCAAGGACTTACACGCGTGCACCTACACGGGTATGACGTTGGGCCCCCGATGTTGAGGGGTTTTCGAAGGGACTGTCACCGGCTTGCGAGGCAAACAAGGCGTGGCACTTCTGGTGGGGGACCTGCGAGCGGAGATCCAACAGGCCGTGAACCTCTTAAGGGGTGAGGCCAGTGCGACGAAGCATCCCATTGCGGCCAAGCTGCTGATGGTGGTGGAGAATTTGCAGCATGCTGAGAAGGAGAAGGGTTGGCCAAAAGCCATACAGGCCCCACCAGGTCCCCACACCCAACACCAGGACGCTCTTGGGAAGATGCGAGAGCTGCTCACACACTCTCACTGGGACTTGGGCCATCGCATGGATCAACAGATGCAGGCTGGTGAGAGAGATCGGGGGTGAATCATGTCAATATGTCTCCTTTGTCCGACAGGATTCTGGACGCCCGGCGTTCAATCCGGGAGACCAACTTGTGCTTGGGGAAGATCATGAAAGCTTTTGCTAGCTGGAGTTGCCTTTTCTTTAGCAAAGGAGTGGGTCAAGGTAGCTCAAGCGCTCAAGGCCTGTTTTTGGATGACTTAGATCCGCCCCTTGCCGGGCTGAACTCCACCTGATCCGTCCTGGTCGGGTGTGGATTTCAATGTGTATCACTTTATCAGTCACTATGTCCGAACCACGTCGGAGCACAGTGTGTCCATACCAATCAGCAAAAAGGTGCACTCGCTTCACACGATGGAACTTTGAAGCCACCAGAACAAAGCAAGACAAAGGCAAGAGAGGCGGTTGGCTTCTTTTTGGAAGGTATGGTGGTGGCAAATATCGGAAAGAATGCCAGAGGCAAGGGCAAGGAAGGCAAAACCAAGACAGGTAAGAAAAGTGAGAGACACCATGGGAAAACTATTGCCACTAGTAGCAAATAGCTACTAGGAACAAGGTGCATCGCTACCAGTAGCAAGAAGCTACTAGTAGCTGAGGGCATTACTACTAGTAGCTATCACACATCTGCAGAAACCGCCACTTGACAAGACTCCGCCACATCGTCCAAACTCACGGGCTGCACCATGCCATATCATCACCACCATGCACACTTCAGTAAACACCCAGGCTCCACCAGCCAGCGCCGAAGATTTGCTACTTCATACGAAGTAAGAATGCGCAATTGTACCAGCCCAAGGTTAGCTGTATGCGTCACCCACAACACACCCTTCACACATCTCACTAGCAGAAAGAACCTAGTAGTAGCAAGGCCCCGCAAGAAACTACTAGTAGCTCCTGGCATTTACTACTAGAAACGAGAAGCTACTAGGAACAAGTGCATCGCTACTAGTAGCAAGGACGCAACTAGTAGCTAAGTGCATTACTAATTACTATATACTTGTAACAAGAAGCTACTAGTAGCAAAGGTGCCGTACGAACTTACGGTGGGAACTGCGCAGCTTTTCGTGCCTCGCTCGCACGCTTCCCCCGAACGTGGCCGTCGGTCGTTGGTCATCTCGGCCTAAAGCATCCACCCGGATGATGCCAGAAGGCCAAGAGAATACTGTGGAAGACCTGTGCGGGAAAGATTGATCATGATACACTGAATTGAATGATGCACGATGAGATCAGGACACATCAGGTGTTCATTGGCCCATTTGACTGGTGTGTGAGCTATGATTGACACCATTCAACACGCCTAGCTCACTCCCAAAGGTCTTGGCTCACTCCCAAAGGTCTTGAACACCCAAAGATCTCTTTGATCCCTTGTATCCCTCGCTGAGCGTCGTCCGATGACCGCAGGTGAACGCGATGTTGGGAGATCACCTGGGCGCTGCACGCGATTTGACCGTGGACATCGTGCAGCGGCTCGAGGAATCCATGAGACGTTTGGAGGAGAAGATGAGCGACACACATGGTGCGTTGCGGTCGGAGATCGATGCGGTGAAGGACGGGAGAGCGGGGAGCAGAGAAGATAGGGCCTTTGACTGCTGTGTCTTTTTCTCCCGTCTTCATGGGGTCTAAGAAGTCTTGGAATATGGGGCCTCCAGAAACTGTGAAGCTGAAGGAGATTGTCACGGGCATCTCTGCCCAAGTGGATCGTGAATCGCAGACGCTTCAAAGTCAAAGCACGCAGCAAGTGGCTGGCTTGGAGCCTGGGCCAGTGCTAATGACGTTCAAGTGCTTTATTCTTGGCACCGTGCCGCACACACCTGTTCAACAGATCTGTCTATAAAGCTGCCAAGCTTCTAAGAACCCCAGTGATTATTATTGTCCTAGTTCCACGGCCAGGAATGGTGTGAAGATGTGAAAACTAAACCCCAAAGATTCTCTGAGCCGCCCGTGGGATGGCTTTGCCTCGGGCCCAGGAGAGCCGGGTCTCAGAAGAATTGAGTCTCGTGCGCTCTAACTTCGAGGAACAGATGAAGAGCTCGTCGAACCAAGTCTCTGCTGCATTGCAGCAGTTGGACCAGCAGACGCTCCAGTGCAATGAAGGACTCGGATCAGGGTTCAGCGCTTTGATTGCCGGCCGATTCTTTGAGCAAGTAGTGTCACGACAGAGGTTTGCTGAGGCTATCCCGACCTATGACGTTTTCGGTGTGAAACTGCCTGGCCTGGTTGTTGCAATATTGAATGGGCGTGTTCTCTCATCATCCTTTCTTTCAGAGAATGTGTTTGAGTATGTCAATTTTTTAAAATAAACGTTTTTAGCTATATCCCATACATGCACACACACACACATATCTATCTATCTATATATATATATCATACAAACATGTAGCTAAATATAAGTCTAACTCTCTAATGATTTTAAAATATCGACAGGCCCCGACACTATACTCCTTTGCACCACACCTTCCCTCCACACTGTACCAGTTGCACCAGGCATTACCACGATCATCGGCCTGGAGAATCAATTGAAAAGTATTGCGGACAAAGTCACCACTGAAGTCTTCCGAGTGCAGGAGCAGGATGACAAGCATTATGTTGACCTGAACCACACCTTGGATGTGAAGATGGCCAACCAAGAAGAGCACATGCTCCTGCTCGTGCAGCAAACAGATGGTGTTGGACCCATACAGCAGGACGTAAAGCTCATGAAAAAGAAAGTCAACGAAGACATTCGTTTGGTTTTGTCAGAGATCACTCGCATCCAGAAGGCCTTGCAGGTGGACTACTTGCCTCCTTCCACCGTGAAGGCGCGCGGCCGGAAGATGAGCGATCCCCACCGCAAGTCTCGCGACGAGTCCGCCTCATCTGCCCTGGCGGTGGAAGCATTCACCAGCACCACCCCCGTGAGCAGCAACCGTCTGGGCCTCGAGCGGATCAAGTCGGACACGGCGGCGAGCGCGCCAAACACCACGTTCCACCGGGCGGCCGAGGCGCTGATGGGGCCGCGCAAGTCGAAATCCCTGCGGCGGCCGGCCTCGAAGGCGGTGGAGGTCGAGAGCGCTGAGCTGGAGGTGGATGATTTGCCACCGAGTCGACCTCAAAGCCCTATGCAGAAGCGCTTCAGAGACTTTGGGATTCAGGCAGAGGCGCAATTGAAAGATACCTTTGTACAAACCGATGGCTCCTGGAATGAGCTCACAATGGAAAGGCTGAGGCAAGAAAAGAGGAAGAAAAGAAAAGTGACCAGCAAAGAGGAGCAGGGTTGATTCCTTTATCGCCTCTATTGTTTCCCTTTGGGTGCCTAAAATATATAGGTGTCAGCATGCTCCAGCATTTCAATTTGCAAATCAGCCCTGAAGAGGAGACAGCGAAGAGCCATACCCGAGCCGCCAATTTCACTCCCATTGACAAGTTGAAGGAGAAGGCCACGGCAGCTGCAATGAAGAAGCAGTATAGTGTCTATGACTACTACAAGGATGAAGGCCTAATGCAACGGCTTGCTCGCCACCCCTTTTTCCACAATCTCACCATCTTGGTGGTGATTGCTAATTCGGTTTGGCTTGGAGTCGATGCGGACTTGAATACGGAGACCATCCTGTTCAATGCCCACCCAGCCATCATCGTGGGGGAGAACTTCTTTTGTATCTATTTCACGTTGGAGATCATCGTTCGCTTCCTGGCTTTCCAGCGAAAGCTGAATGCTTTCAAAGACTTCTGGTTTAGCTTCGACCTGTTCCTCGCCCTTCTCATCATTGTGGAGACGTGGGTCACCCCTGTGTTGCTCTTATTGACCGGAGACCTCAGTGGTTTACCCGAAGGCACCGTCCTGCTGCGGCTCATCCGCCTGGTGCGCTTGGTGCGCCTCACCCGGCTCACGCGATTGCTGCGGTCCTTCCCCGAGCTGATGATCATCGTCAAGGGGCTGGCCTTTGCCACCAGATCAGCCGCTTGGGCCGTGAAGCGGTCAACTGGGAAACCAGCGGTCAAACATAAAACATAGCATGAAATAGCCGACATAACTCACATGCCTTTCTTACTTCACTCTGATTGAAGCATTGTAATGAACACCTTTATATGGGCCCTTGGTGAACATGATTGGCTCGTGCTTTTTGCTTTGAAATTTGGAACGGCAATGCTACCGCGTCGATTCAGTTTCGCACGATTTTGTCAGGTGTGCGTCTTCTCCTTGTTGTGGGCCATCATCACCTACGCCTTTGCAATCATCATGCGATCACTTACTGAGGGCTCCACGATTGGCACCACTTTCTTCAAGACCGTCCCAGAATCCATCAACACACTCCTTTTGCCTGCGGTCTTTGGGGCCAACGCGGATGTGATCAATGCCATTGCCAAAGACAACCCAGGGCTATGGCCGATCATGGTCTTCTTTATGGCACTCGTCTCCGTGACCATCATGTATATGTTATTAGGCGTTTTGGTGGACGTGATTGGCGCAGTGGCCTCCACAGAGACTTGGTGGGTGGACCGTGGACCCAATGTCTGGATGTAGACCCTCTAGGGAGAACGGGGGAGCTGGGTTGTCGGGTGACCAAGCCAAGCCTCTGGAGAATTTCTCGGCGCGGCCTAGGAGAAGCAAAAGATTGAGATCACCTACATTGTCGGACAGCTTCGAGAAGAGCTGGACAAGTTGTCAATCATCCCGGAGGACGGAGTCAGCCGGAAAATGTACACCATCGCCCCGCATAGAAGAAAAGATCACAACAACCCACCAAGGAAGCTCATCAGGTTGCCATGTCATTCATCCATGACCAGGAAAGATTGGTCGTTGTAGGCCTGAGACCCCAAGAGGTCCCAAAGCATCTATATACTCATCTATATATATATATATATATAATCCTTTTCACTCTCCCAGTGGCTCGGACCAGAACAGGACATGGCGCTGGACCAGCTGGAATTTCAAAAGCTGGTCCTGGAGCCGGGCATCGTGCGGGTGATGCACGAATCTGGGGTGAATGTGGAGGTGCTTGCGGAAATGCTGGACTTGGTCTGGGAAGATGCTTCCAAGGCAGGTTAAGGGAGGGCGAGGTGATAGGGATGCTGGGTTAGGCAACTTTGATCATCCCACGGACCTCATTCAGCCGAGAGCAGATAGCTCTAGCACTCTAGGGCACTAATTCTTCGCATCTTATCCTGCTGGATTTCGCTCTGATGTTCTGGCGCAGGCGGGCACCCAGGCTAAGACCTTCACCTTCTCAGAGCTCGTGAACATGGTCCTGGGAATGCGTGGCTCCAACCCTGCCACTGTCAAGGCCCGGTTCTGTTGGAAAGCGAAGTGATCCGGGGGACGGGGGGGGAAAGGTGCTACTGCTACTGTAAATGTTGGGTGAGAAACATGTGAAACTTTTTCGAGGTTCCCCTGCACCTATCAGTCTTGGAGTCATTTTGGTTGAACTCGAAGGGAGTCACACCATGGAGGATTGCAAAGAGCAGATCCGCGTCACCAACAGTCTCATCAAGCGCTGCTTTGGCGAGCTCTACGAGGAGCTGGAAGACAAGTTCTATCAGGTGCCAGCCTGTTTGCCATGTTTGTTTCCGAAGTATGTTGGGAGTTCTTCCCCAAAAATCACTCGAGCAAAGCGAACCATAGATTTCCTCAGCTGGGAGGATGGATGATTAGAATCGACGTGGGGTTCATGACGGGGGTGGGATGAAGAGCTCAGGTGCGCCAAGAGATTCAGAGCATGGACCAAGACTTCTCAATCGAAGACTTGGACAACGTGGGCGGGTGGCCTCAGGGTGAAGATCCAGAAGGTGATGCTGGTGACGTGGAGGAGGCAGAGTCGCCGGTTCCACTTTCCTGAGGATCATCGGCTGCATCGTGGCACCCCCATCAACACCCCGAGCTTTTGTCCTGCTCCGGTGTGGGATATTCCAAGTTCTGAAACGGAATGAGAGTCAGAGGTGACCACAGAAATCAAGCACGCCTCCTTGCAGGGATGGCACACTGCTGGCCCATGTCAAGGAAGTTGACAGGAACTGTTGACTGGAACTGTTCTTGTTACGCCGTTCAACATCTTCATTCTGTACGTGCGCAAGCGCCCACTTGAAGAGAGAGAGAGAGAGAGAGAGACACCCTACGGCATGTACAGTGCCGCTGCAGAGCGATTGCCGGGAGCACTAGCAGTCACAAGCACACTCGTTAAAGCACTAGCCATGGTAGCCCTTTTTCCTGCACTGCCCAACTAGTGCGAAACAACCTGAGACCTCCGTGTAAATGGCCAAGAACACAACAATGTTGTATGTTTGCACCCTCATGCTGTTTGGTTTTGGTCCTCCTTGGTCAGGACACACGCACACAGATGAGATCCCGGCGCTTCTGTACAATGATAACATGTAAGACTCGAGCTTCCTTAGGAACAGGTTCCGGGACACTCACTTACTTACTCACTTACTTACTTGCTTACTTGCTTAGACTCCCTGCTCAACTGAATGAGCGTTCGTTCAGTTAACGATTTCCCGATGCATTAGCACTTTACTGCAGGAACGACCTGGAACCTAGAAACAGACCTTATAAAGGGCCGAGAACAACAGGTGTAAAGAAGCAGGTACGTCAGTTCTGCATCCAGAACTGAGTATTGCCAGCTTCGTTGGTGGAGAAGCAATACAGGTGTCTCCACCCCCTGCGTGAACTAGATGCAAGACCTGTTGGTGACCCTTGGAATCAGGGTGTGACACACACACACACACAAGCACGCATGTTTTGTCCAAGCTAAGGAAACCAGGGCAGCTCCGGCCCCCTGCGCCGGCGGGCAGCGAAAGACCCCAGGAAGAATGGACGGCCATCCGGAGAACGCGCCAGTCCCTGTTTCACCAGCCAAGCATGAGCTAAAAACAGCTTTGCAAAAAATGGCTTGGAACAATACATGTTGGCGGAGAAAAAGCAACGTGGTGCTGGTTCTCGAAAATGTTGGACACTGCTTTCGGCAGGAGAGGTCCAGTCTGTCGAACACTTGGGGCACTTGGAATATTACAGTTGTCAGGTGGGTCCTCGATGAAAACTGCGAGAGGTTGCAGGGCTGATCTTAAAACAAAGTTGGAAAGGTGTAGAGTCAATGCAACTCTCCGTTCAAAAATCCACAAACTGTGAGGTTTCAGGCGCCTTCGGCGAAGGCTTTTATGATGCGGCATGTCGGGGGGGCTCAGTTGTTTTTCGTGGTGAGCTGGCAGTCGTACCCGTTTTTCTTAACCGGAACTTTGACAGAACGTCATTTGCCAAGGTTTCCTGTTCCCTGGCCCTGCCCCGAACCGAATCACCACTGCAACTCGAGGCCCAGGATCAGATTTGCCGGATGGATTGCGCACCCCTCAGACGCGTTCAAGCACGCACAACTTTGTCTTATGTCAGCAGTCAAGACTTTTGTTTGCTCCTTTCTGGGGCCATGTGATCGGAAGGGCCAATTCCGGAGCCATGGTTCATGGTTTGGCCCTTTTCAACGTTTATTCAATCATGCATTTTTCCTTCTCTCCCAAGGTTTGAAGCACCAGGACCTGCACAGCTGCCAGCGTAGCTTGCTGCAGACATTTGCCATCCCTTGTCGCCCAGATGAGCCACACCGGACCCACAGGTTCAGTCAAAACCTCACGAACCGTCCTTTCAGCCTCGCAGGTCTCTTTGGTAATATTTGGATCTTGAGCTTTAGCAAGATTTGGTTTGGTAACAGGTGAATACATGAGAAGGACATACGGTTGGAGTTAGCTTCTTCTTTGCCCCAGACCTCCTAGGCCCAGAGCTAATATGGCAGCCCGGATCTTGGCAATTTTGTTGTTTGTTGGGTTTGGCAAGCAAGAAACGGAGACTGGCCGTAGCTGCCTGCAGAGTCTACAGCATGATGACGAAGCTTCGTACAATTGACGACCACCCTGAACGCACAGCTTTTGTGTGTTTCTCAGGGCGCAGCACGCAGACCTGGAAAGCAGTGGGTGGTGGCCGAAGAGAGGCAGCGGTGCTTGGGATTGAGGTGAATGGACATGCTAACTTGGTCAGGAGACACTTCGCCAAGAAGCATGCAGTTTTTGACGACCACGTTTTCCACCCCTCAACTCGGGTTCGGGGCAGTGTGAAAAGTCGTTGAACATCTTCGAAAGCCGGACAGGTGTTTCATTTCTTCAGTCTGACCCTGTCAGACTGATGAACATCAACATCCTGAAATTTGAGGCCGACTCTCTGTGATTCTTTTTGGATCTGACTGAGGCTTCCCAATGAGTCGTCCACTGGCGACGACTTCATGCCGTCCGAGTCCCTCTTGGGAAAGTGGGTGGACTCTCAGGCAGCTGTGCAGCACAGGGTGGACTCTCGGAGGAATAGCCTGTCGGTTGGGCTTCTGCCCATAGGTTCTGAGTCAATTATTTTGTTTTCCATGTTTTCACCCAAACGATTCCTAGGCAGAGGAAGGTGTGTGTGCACACTAGGATCCCATGTCGCGTGCCCGCGTCGGCCTGGAACCGCTTGGCCTTCAAACTGGTCGCTCTCAGCGGTGAGGGCCATTCGATCCACGTCCTGTCCACCGATGCCTACAGTGTTCGATTGCTGGGGAGCCCAGACCTCCGCTTGGTGGATTCGTCCAGCTGTGAAGCTTCTTTTTCTTCTTGACTTTACGACGGGTGCGGCTGGAGTGTTGGGACTGCGCTGGACCATGTTTTCACCACCCATTTGGTTAGTTGATGTTGGCTGGTTGGGTGGTTGGTGACTCATCCATCCCAGGCTGGCGACCATGTCCAAGGCAATGCTGCCAGACAAGCATTTGGCGCTCAAGCCGGTGAGGCGTACGATCCCAACGGGCAAAGGGTGTTCTGCGTGGGGTGCGAGGCTGCGAGTGCTCGGAGGTAGCAAGAGGACCTTGACATTTCTATTCCTTCCATTTTATAGTGGGATGTTTGAGACCTTTTGAGAATGTGTTTTCTAACAAAGTTCGGCGCTGGAATCGTGGTATGTTGCCGACATGATGCCTCATTTGTAGGATTCCATGGGCAAGAGTCAGGAAAGGAAGGGCCCCTTCTTGAGTGAGTGCCATCCGCAGGTTGGGGGCAGGATGGCAATGCGGCCACTCCATTCTTGATCCTTCCTGGACTGCATGTCAGTCAAGCTTTTTGTTGGAAGTATTGCATTGACCTGTCCTCAACTCCTGGAGTGTACCTGCCGTTTGCGAGGAGCACACCGTCTCAACTACACTGGGTTGTCCGGACCATATTTCCCAGCCTGCATGGCAGCATCGCACACCAATGATTCCATTAAAAGGAGTTTGGAAATCCACAGCTGTCCTCTGTTGCTTTCTAAGAACGGAGTGGATGCAAGTATATAGACCAAGACATGGTATGTGTGTATATATATATATTACAATAACAACACTACTAGCAATACTATATATATATATTATACACATTATTGTTACATTACTGTACATTTATTGTCGAGATTCGAGATGTGGTATGCAGCTGTTTGTGGCTCTGTTTTGGTGGTATGACCTACGTTTCAAGCTGTTGTTTCGGGGGCCATCTTGAAGTCTGATTTTTTTTCCGTAGGCGCTCATGTTGCTTCAATTTTTGAATACCTGCTTGCCTGGTCGAGTCAAAATGTGAGCAACCCAGCTGAAGAGAATGACAGGACATTCTCAAGCAATCAAACACTTGAGGGTTTCGATCGGTTGACCATCACAAAACATTTGCAGGTGCGGAGAATAATCCAAGAAGCAAACACCTCCCTACCCAAAGTCCTCAATCATTTGGCTTTTTGAGTCAAGTTTCTGGCACGTTGTAACCTCCATCTCCTAGTCAAAACCAAATAATATTATACAATAATTGCTACCTGCCCACTTTGTCTCATACCCGTTACATTCGACCCCGATACAGCTTTCTGCACCCTACATCTGAGATTCGGACTTAAGATTACCTACTTCCCGTCCTACACAGTGTTTTTGTATTCCAATTGGTTCTGTCCTACTTACACCACCCCTTTGTCTTTTACTTTGATTTGGCTCAACTCACCGCACTCAATTTGCTGCGTTCTTTGCTTTGTATTTTTTTTGCCAAGTTCCATGCCATATTCTACTCTCCTTACTTGTGCTTGCATTGCTTTACACTGCTGACTCTGTGTCCATTGAATGCTGTATATCCAGTATAGCATAAACATATATACATATAAATGCACATATCTCATACTTTGACAGCAGCAACCTTAAAGTGAAATATACTTTAAAGTGAAATATGCATTGTATATATACGCTCAGAGGAGTGGCCAAAGAGGTTTCCTCGCCCGCACAAGCCGATCTCCGGGATGCGAAGACATTAAGACAGAAGATCTTGCGGAGGGGCAAGGAGGCTAGCAGCGGCTAGCATCTAGATGTACACAGAAATGCCTATTTAGATGTTCTTTTAGGGCAAGAATCTTCCATCGACTTCATTCGAAGGGATCTGAAGGATATGCCATGTCACCTTTGTTCAGCCCAAGGCTGGCGACGGTCGCGTGACTGTTTGGGTGCGCCCGCCGTCCAAGGCCAAGAAGGCCAGTGAAAGGTCAGGCAGAATCTCAGGTTGTAAATAGCAAAGCCTTACATGATACAGCCCTAAAGCTAATTCCAGGTGCACAGTTGAACAGAAACAAGCCTTCGAACAGCCTGTGTTCTTGCTTTATATGTTGCAAAATGCAAGCTCCAAGCACAAAAGCTGGAGACGCATAAATCATCATAAATCCTATACCGACAGTTGCAGGCCTAGGTGAATGTGCTGTGACCTCTCTAGGTCACACATTTGAGCCTCGAGCTTCCCATTGTGGCCTTGTAGCCGCAGCTCAACCGTCCATCAACGCAGGCGAAGGAATAACACGTCGCCAGGCACGAAAAAGGCGGGTGGATGGCCGTGGATATCTCCCAAACAAAGCTGGCCTCGACAAATTTTGTGCATGGTACGAGTTGAGTGGCCCAAACTCTTCCACCCAATCCAGGTCAGTTCCAAATCTTCACTGCAGGATTTCACGTGTCTCCCACATGTTCTCGTCGTCCTTGGCCTCTTGAGCCATTTTCGGGCTGTCCGTTGTTCACCCTGTTCGATGTGGCCTTTGAAGGGTCGACTCTGTGGGATTCTGTGAGGAGCACGCGCATCGCTGGAGATTCTGAAGCCTGCCATCAGTGATGCCCCCCCCTTGTGTACATGCCACCAAGCAGAATCCCAAGGCACTATCCCGAAGTGGTCATGTTGACATAGTCGAATTCCCACACCCTTGCCCTATCCCTGCACAGGGATTGGCCATGTCCAAAGGACAAGCCAGAATTCAATACTATTTCAATACCTTTGAAGCGCCACATTTTGCTCCTGCAGAGGATTTTAGTGGCCAGGGTAATGGTACCTTCTCCAAAGGCCAGCGGCATGTGCTGCACGGTTCAGTTTCTGTTTCATGGGAAAAGTCCGAGCCTGTACTTCTCCGGCTTTCTTTTGGGCGGAACGAAGCTGACAGCCTGATGTGAGAGAGAGAGAGAGAGAGAGCAGGAGTTGTGTATGTGTGTGTGTGTGTGTGTCAACCCTTGTTCCTAAGGGTTTTGGTTTCTTGCATACG